CGGAATCTTATCAAGATTAAAGGGGAATGTCTATTAACCGTAATTTATCTTGCGACAAACAGACAGTTCAACAGTTTTCATAAATGCATCATCCACCCATTTGAGCCATCGCACTCCTAATCAGCCCGATTGAGATTTAGCATCTTATGATGTAAGCCATAGAGGGGTCTTTTAATTCGGCCGTGCCTTTAATTTTGAAAATTATATTTACACCTTTTTATAAATTTATTCGCCATCAAATCACATCGTTATCAATCTCGGGGACACCAAATACTATCCTACACGAGCACGTCCCACTGTATACAAAAAACTAACTGGTACGCGTTTTTAAGAAGGCCTTCCTAGATGAAGAGTCGAAGAAATTGTTTATCAGAGAACCTAGAAAGACTAAGATCAGATTTTTTGGTGTTTCCCTATCAGAACCCCTCTGTCCTCTGTGAACATGTTTCGGACCACCTTAATCTTCATTTTAAACCACTTTTGTCCACTCGAAACGGTCTTTATCCATAAAGACAGATACTCATCACTGTTACTCAAGAAGCTACACAGGCGAAAACAGCAGGTCTGTGAACAAGGACAAAGAATCCATGTTAAGCGGCTTACAATTTCGATCGAAGCTGAAATAAATCGGCTGAAAAAATTTTGCATCGACACTATCCTGGTAAACTCTAGTTGTTGTGGCATATGGAAGACTATCAACCGATTGTGACAGTAGCAATAAACAAAAAAGGAAACTGTCGACATTGAAAGACTAAATTCTGAGTTTGGTCCAGTTTCACAGTTCACTACCCTGCCAGATTTAGTCAACTTTACGCCAAAACCAACCATCGAACCCACCACAGTCCTTCAACAGTTACTGAAAATAAAGTTGAATAAAGCATCTAGCCCGGATGAACTATCACCCGTGGTACTCAAGGTATGTGCGGACATTCTTTCAGCCCCATTGTCTAAAATATTCAATGACTGTTTGATCAGCGGAAAAATTCCTAATATTTAGAGACTGGCCAATATTACTCCCGTTCCAAAAAAAGAACCTGGGAGGTATCGTCCAAATGCCTGCACGTCAGTCATTCTCAAATTATTTGAGAGATGCTTATTACCGTGGGTTTTCACTGTCTGCCGAAGACGACATACATCAATTTGCATATCGTTCTTCGCGTTCAACACTTCGTGCCGTTGCATACCTTGTTCATTCAGTAATTTTTATACTGAATAAGAAAAGTAAGACCATCAGAATGGCGTTATTAGACTACAAAAACGCTTTCGGCAGTCTTGTTCGATCGGTATTGCTCAACCTGATTGCAGAAAGGGGTGTTAATCCGCGATTACATCACAGTTTACGTGCCTCAATGGCAAAAAATCCTCCAATCGCCTAGTTGCTTCTGGTATTCTGCAAGGTGCAATATTTTCCCCATTTTGCTTTTCAATGTATGTCAAGCAATTTCCCATTCCTCCTGCATTCGTTGGCTGTAAACAAGCAGATGACGTTGTTTTAGGTTGCAAAGCATCCACCCCTGAAAAGGCTTCAGAAATTCAAAGCAAGCTAAACGACGTTTTCACTTAGTCCTTGTCCCGTTCCCTTTCACTGAATGCCTCTAAATGTCAGGATGTTGTGTTTTCCCTCCTAGCGGATGTACCATATTCAGCCCTCACAGGTAGGTACCCCACCCTCTCTCTGCCAATCACGAACCCGTACCAAAATCAATAATGGTTAAATACCTAGGCGTCACTTTATCACACAATTTAACATGGTCACTGAATGTTCAAAACACATTCTGTAAAGTCAGAAAGCTTTCATATTTCTCACTCCGATTGAGAATGCTTTCTGTTCCCCGTGAGCTGATTGTTAGTTTTGTGAATGCATGCGAGCTACCCCACTGGTTGTATTCCTCTCCAGTGATTTTTTCCCGATATTTTGAAGAAAGAATTTTATTTAGTGGCGAGATGCCTGAAACACATCTTCAAATGTAGTGGCATCGCCAGGGATAAACTCGTGAATCCTATCTACCTACAAACATGTGAAAATTTCACTACCGAAGTACAATCAAATACTAACCACCCACACAAGGAATTTTCGAAAACTGTGTCTACATCATCCACACGGTCAAGATTCAAACTTTTATTTGTGCGTACCTCTGCTTATCGTAATTCTGTTTTGCCATTTCTGGCACGTCTACTTATTGACAAGGAGAAAGTTTTCACAGAATTACGCAATTTCTTGCTTGCTTCTTTGACAAACACAATATCTGCTGATTTCAGTTTCATTACATATGATTTTGTAAATTCAAATCCACAAATATGGTGTAAATGCTGAACATTCACCCATCCGGATGCATAAAGAGAGCGAAGAAAATTCAAACGGAAAAAATGGTAAATATTGTTAGTTTTGTGCGAATTCATTGATTACATCCGGGGTTTTGCAGTTCGACAGTTGAACGCGTTATCCACTTGTGCAACTAATTGCACTGTTTGATATTGCTTAAGCACTATGTAAGTTACTCCACCATGACAAGTCTGTCGAAAGTAACACACACATGTAAGATCCCCAGTCACCTGATTCAGTTAGACTCTATTTTCAATTGTATCTTATCCAGACCGACCAACTCACCAATTCCGGTTCACTTTGTTGACGCAGTTCTCGGCTGTATTTGGCAATCAGATGGTGCTCATCATCCGCGATAGGCGCGCTGCCCCGACCCGGATGCATGGTACTCAGTCCAGTTTCCTCTCCCCGATACGGCTCCGCGGTTGCGTTCATGTCCCCATACGCGTACGTGATCTGACGCGTGTCTGAGGCCGCTCTCGGTAAAGGATGATTTTCCGTGGTCGAGTGAAGTTGAGTGGACGTGGGTCGACTGATAACAGGCTCCATAATGTTGGATGTCGGTGCGTGGACAAATGACGGCTCCGGGGATTCCAGAGCGCTTCCTTTGTACAGTTCTCCACGTCCGCTGGAAGTTTCACTTGTCGTGTCCCGAGGAAGCAACGAGGCCAAATCTGAGCCGAATTTCGGTGCTGGTCGAGGTTTACTTGATCAATAAATTCAAAAAGTTAGTTTTGTTGTTTTTAAAAGGCACATTCGCCATGTTTATGTCAAATGAAGCGCGAACTGAAAATCTAAGAAGCAGTGGACAGCTATTTCGATCTGGTTCGGTCTCATCGACCGCACTGCGAATCCATCCACCCAACTGGGGATTGAACCCGGAAACTCGTAGGCGGAACGCAAGCATACTAACCACTCGGCCACCCCGGGGCAGCTGGTCAGATCCTTATTTGTGCCAACTGTCGGGGATAGGAGTAAACCTTATAACTTTGGAATTTTACGAAGACTGTGGTCACTCACGATGTCTAACCGATCCAGTAAGGCATGGAAATAAGGGAAAAAGGATTCATGGTTCACTTGCATTATATAGGTTTTCAACATGATCAGAAATCCACTGTGTCCCGGTCTGTTCGTAGCAGTCTGCGAGAGCCGCACACACACACACACACACACAGTAACAAACTGGAATCGATAGGTTTTATACTTACCCTCCGTTTGGAGGAGTTTAAGGTTCCAGTTATGAAGAATAAGACTGAAGGGTGTCGAGATAAAATCGATGGTAACACTTAACTCATACACCGGTCACAAGTAGTTGCGAATCAAATCGATAATCGGAACTCCGCGTGTGTGTGTGTGTGTGTACATGGGTGAACTCACTCTTCCGAGAAAACAGTCGGTTCACAGCATCGACCACGGCTCCGGCTCGATCCGGACAATTGGAGTGTTGGACGACCGAGTGCTGCTTGGTTCGAATTTTCTTGTTGTAATCGATCGCGGGACCGGAATCGATTCCGTACGATTCGGGTGAAATCGCGGAAGGAGTCGCTCGAGGTAGACTGAAGACATGAAGATTGGAAGAAAAAGATAAAACTAGATTTGTGTGCGTGTGTGTGTGTGATTACGTACACAATGACTGTGAGAAAAAGACAACTGGTTGAATAGGATGACGGGAAAAGGACAGACTCTGAGATAGAGTATTATAATCATAAGTATTATGGTAATTATAGTATTTAGTCACGCATTGACAAGAATATAAGTGTACTCACATTACTGCAATATTCTTGCATGGGGTGAGTCAATTTGTGACTGCGTGCTGTCCGACCGCTAAAGAAACATTGCTGACACAAATCGAAATTTAGACAGCGCAGGCATCGGTATCTGAAACACACAGAGGGAGAGAGAGAGATTAGAATAAAAGTGGAAATTGAGACAACAAGTGACAACAGAAATCTGCGAAGATATGAAACAAAACTTCCATTTTATTCTTCTCTCTAAGTGATTCGACGTTCAGACGTTTCAGTTGAACGAGATCACTGACCAGATAGAGCGAAACGCCACCATCACTCACCACCATTCACCATCCCGGGAAATTTCTCTATTTATCACATGACAAGTATGATGTCCAGTAGAGGGGTGAACCTCACATTCATAAATATACGCCAATTCGGAACATTCATCCGAAACACAAGTTGCTGATTTTGCGTCTGACTATTTATTAGGAAGAGCAAACAGAATGAGGAACGATATTCTACAAATCTGCAAATAAGAGACGGTTTGAAGACCGTCGTTTTTCAGGTTTTCAGAGTCACCTGGTAAGATCTACTCAAAGCGTGTGACCGTCGTGTTTCTCGTGAACGAATAACAGTGCAGCAGGGTTCAAATTGGCCAACGTCACAGAGCCAAAGTTCCATAGTTGTAACTGCTTAAAACTGGCAGGGAGACCATGAAATATCGATAGATGAGTGATTCACGAGTAGATAAAGAAGAAGAGTAGGCTCCGGCACGGCCAGGACTTTAATATTCCACACTGAAATGAAATGGAACCCTGTAAAACGGTGACAAGTTGAGAAGAAATGAGAAATCGTTTCAGACTGACGACGGTAGGCATGCCGGTTCGAGATAGGAGTGAGAGGCATTGGAGGCCCAATCCGACTGTTGAAGATATTTCGACTCGGATTCAATAGGTTCTCTATTGAATCAGAGTCGAAATGCAGTTGAGGAACACATGGAGTATGTGTGTGTGTGTGTGTGTGTGTGTGTGTGTGTGNGTGTGTGTGATAGATGCATACAAGAGGTTTTTAGAGCGCTGACAACCACGCTTTTGTATTGCCCCAAGCAGAGATAGTATTCCCTGGTGAACTGAGTGAAGTAAAAGCAGATAACCAATCGGGATATGAGGTATGGAAAGTGTTTTAAGGAAGAGAATAATTGAGTGTAGCATTATCGGCAGAACTATGGACAGAACAAACAGCTCTGTGTAGACGGTTGTTACGAAAGAGAACAAATAGGATGGAAGATAATGCTACGCTTGGTAACCGCTCCAGTAATACCTTATCCGCTGTAGTCGTATGACACCGAATCTTTTGGGTTCATGGATTTTTTGTCTTGTTTTTTTGTCTTGCACATTTGTGAGTAATGGTGTGGGATAGTTGATATTTATTGATTTGAACTGGCTATCCTTCGGACTTCACCTTCACACACAATCCTCAGTTCATCGATTCACCCATACACTCGGAAGTACTAGACTCGATTTTCGCTCTTATTAGAGCTCATCAGTAGCGCATATCCACCGTCCCGTCCGGGATTTGAACTCTGGACCCATCGCATGGAAGGCGTGTGCCACTGTGCCAATCAGCTCATACTATGACTGAACCAGATTGCCTATTCGTGCTTGTTCAGGTGTCGTCTTCAGTGATAGTCAGTTTATTTGGACCGACAGCAACGAAAGAAGACAAAAATGACAATAAGTTAACTCCAATCGAAAGCTTTCCACTAAGTCAGGACTTCTATAAAGGTTACGGGCTGATTTGCAACCGAACATACAAGGCTGGATTGATAATTCGCATTTTACTCAGTTACTTGTGAGTAGTGATGTGGGATAATGGATATTTATTGATTTGAAACTCGAGTTTTACACATTTGTTGTAGACCCCAACCCACGGAGTACTTATTTTTTAGTATTTCCTTGCAAAGAGATTGAGAAAAAGGAGAAAATGATAGCTATATGCTTTGGCATGCATCTTTCGAGGACAGTTAACGGTCTTAGATTGTGAACGGCTGAGGTTTTCAATGTATCTATCGAAGATACTGTTAAAGAAGATTCCCGAGTGCTATTTGGAGCCCTAATTTGAAACCAATTGCGCGGATATGAGTACTGATAGATCATGCAGATGAGTATTAGTTACCGGGTTTCAATTGATAAATAAAAATATGCATATCTGCTTTGTTCTTGGACAACCAATCAGAACAAGGATAGGTGAAATCAAGTGATTGGCTGGAACCACCAATCAATCAAGACGGTCGACAGCAATCCAGTCAATCAAGCGTATGATGTATATACATTCCTTTGTCCTCGCTATTTCCTATAAATAAACATGATTTTTACTGTGTTCTACTTCACAAGTTGTGGAATTCTTATCTGGATGAGAAACGTCACCAGAAGACGATCATTTGAGAATCCACTATCGAGGAAAAGCACAATCGAGTAGTGGTAGAGTACTAGGAAGATACCAAAGCTTTATAATGCCGGCTATAAAGAACGGTTTGAAAGACATGCAATGTGAAAACTAAAGATGATAAGGTGATGAACCCTGTAGAACCAAGAGAGAGCATGGAGGCTCATCAGAGTGGGGGAAGAAACCGGAAATGAATACCCGGCCAACAGTGTCAGATAGATAGATTCTCTATACTACTGGAGGTAGGCGATGGGTGGGGCAGGTGACCAATTATGCGAGGTCCGAGGTTTCCGCTTTGCAGTGTGCACAAAAAACGGCTGTTGTTAATGCGAACGTTCCAATCATCTAGACTGATGGTAAAGAGAGTTAGAGTTTAACTGAAAAATATTTTCAATGCACAGAATAACCAGAACTGTTAGGAGAACGATAAAGAAAGCGGTATTTTTTGCGATAGGGGATGAAGATGGAGCCAAAAGTGCCGAAATTCTTGATTGGAAGTACTAAGATCACCGGTGCTGACTGGAGTACAAACGAACACACATCCTTTTTGAATAGAAAAGTTGAATAAAGTGTATAGTGAGGGAAAATGTAGTGTGTAAGACCTTTTGGACGAGGCATTTAAGTCTCGGAAAATAAAAGAATAGCGGAGCGAAGTATATTCAGTGTAGTGATGCAGATAAGCTGTTTTTTTACACACACACCTTAGTGTGATGAACAAGAGAATGGGGTAAACCGTGTAGTCACGAGGATCTGCTGTTTAGTGATAGAAATAGGTAACTCCAGCCCCGGAACTTGAATAGGCCACTAAAATAGGTCCGCTAGTTCAAGTGTGGTAATGAACCGGACGATAGCAAAGTAGCCGAGCACAAAAGCTAGGGTGGCGATGGCGGGGCCTAATGGTCACGAATGCTGGTTAATGCCAAACAACAGTCTGAATAATCTTTTTGATGTCGAAAGTCATTGAGCTTCTTGCACAGTTATCGGTCGATATGTAGCTTAAAGTCATGAATTAAATTTCCTAAATACTCTGTAGAAGAGATGCCTTTGTTCTGAATGGTGAATGATATGAGTTTTACCAACTGATCTGACAGGATTCCACAAAGCTAATTCGACATGAGTTCACGGGCCAGACTGGAATATCGTTTGAAATATGTTCACCGGGCTAGGAGAGTTTATTCACCAAACGAGTAAGATGAACCTGTTCTGTTTAGCACAACCTGCTTGTCGTTCGGTCACAATACATGCTCCCGCGAGCCTCAGTATGGTCGGCGGTGGTTGTATGACGTTGCGACTGGTCCCCCTTCTGGTGCATCTCATGACTTGCTCCCACACGACCAAGGGTCTCAAATTATCGCTGTTCATTAAGCCCTACTCACTGCCTTTTCGCGGCAGAGGTTTCCTCACCAAATGTGAGAAGATGAAAAGCCAATATCCGGGGATATAACCGGGTCGGTGAATCACTGATAGTTCACCTAAGAGGGCTGGCTAAATACACTGATTACAAACTAACTAAGAGGAATAGTACGAATCACATACACATATTCCCGGTTGTGGCATTGGTCACCGGCTCAATTGATCATCGAGCTGTTTTGGACATCTTGGACGTTTGAGCCCGTTCAAGGGACGTATTATCCGATGAAGTGGACACCGAACCCCAATGGATTGCGGTTTTCACACACCGCTCCACTGCCACTCCATAGATTTGTTTATTCCCTCCATACGCCATTGTGGAGCTATTTGTTTGTCATCCATGCGATAAAGTCAACTTAGCGACTTATTCGATATAACGGAATGGCTCATTCAGACAGAATAATGGGCGATTTTTGCACCACGTACAACCAATCCCAATGTCGATTGTACACATATACGCACAGTGATGGATCACCGCTACCGACCGAAGGAAGCGTATCCACGAGGATCGACCCGGAAATGAACAAGTGTTGCAGTGTTTCTGTTGTACATTTCTTTCAGATATAGTGAATTGAATACTATAGAGTGGAGCTTTGTAAAGTTCGGTTTTCTGAGGTTTCTGATGAAGTTACGAGATCAGGGAAGTGAGACTTAAATGTCCGCATTCCATGGACAAAAGCCGATCCCTTTCCAGAACAAGAGAGCACACAAGTTGGATCACNTCGTGGGGGGGGGGGAGAGGGGACTGTTGCAAGAAGGTTATCAGTTTGCAAGTGGAAGAATAGTCGATCAATAAAGTGTATGTCTACAGCTGCACACCGGTATGTTCGTCTTCTGATCAGCTAAGTGCTGGCAACTCACTCACCCTCTTTTTCACGTTCGGTTTATTTTTTGATGCTGTTTTAGGCGAATCTAAGTTAAGGCCCACTGTTTTTAACCCTATATTCTGACTATCGTACCAAGCAACAAACACGATTTTCCTAAATAATTTATTAACAAAAAAAACAAACAGAAAAAATGTGATTAAAAATTGACAGCGTGCAGTCTTTGGCTACAGATATAAGAGGAACACGGTAACTGATATTGGCAGCCGATAAATAATAGTAAAAAATAACGCAGACATATATTTACCTAGATAAACTAGATTTATTTTAAATATGAAAACTTTCTATAGTTTTCAAACACAGTGGTGTGGATTAAATAATCAGAATTTGGGCCACTTCATACTTACCTCAGTCCCACTATTGGATGAGACTGACAGACTCCACACCGAACAGGATGTACCATTTGTTCGGCCAACAAAACTCGATGAAGCAACGGCAACCACATGATTGTCTGAGGCCCGAAACGAAGCCACGTAAGAAAATGACGCACAGGAATACTTTGGCTTCGATACGGTGAGGAGTTTTGATGACGATCTGAGCTTCGGGCTATTTCTAACACCTGTGAAACGGATGAAACGAATTGATGAAAACTTGAAATGATAAAAATGTTCGTTTAGTATAAAACTGTACAGTTAATTTACAGGTATCGGGCTACGGGCATTCAAGGGATTTTGCGAAAATACAAGGGGGAGGGGGGAGGCAAGATGGACCTCCGCGGCGGGATTCGAATACACACGACCTCCGGGACACTGTTATGATCACCTGAACTATCTGTTTATTACCACCGAAAGGAAATGCGAAATGTATTCACGAAACAATGTATTTTGTGTAATTACTTGATAGAATGTTAACTTCTTCGAATTTGTTTTCCTATCTTCTGATTGGATTATGCTATGAATACGGGAAAATTATAGACGCAAAACGCAATCACAAAAACCAGACTGTTGTCTTGTCTTTGTCGTAATTCTATTATCGATCACGAATCAAGTTCAGTGCTGTGCCAAGAGAAGACTGTTCGGGATGTTTCCGACCGAGTCATTAAACATGGAGACAATTGCCAAGAAGAGGAAAGAAAGATGCCCGTAACACGTTTGTAACCACAAGCTACTGCGTATCGTGTACAGACAAAATGAACCAGACTGAGCAATCGTTTGGTGATCCAACGACTTGTTGGCTTGTTTTATGCCTGTTGTATCGATGGATTTGCTATACTGATGAGAAGCTGTTCATATCGAAACAGTTGTCCAGTGCTCCACAATTGTTATTTCACACACTTCCTTTTATCTGTGTACGGTGAAAAATGGTCATAAAATCTAACTGATCTGATATTCGAGTGTGTATTTATCTTTCCGCGCTTCCCTCATCTCTGTATTCGTTCTATTATTTAAAAAAAGAAATTTCATAGTAAAACATTTCACATCTGAGTCACAGTAACTAGTGAGTGGTGTGTATTTGGGATAACTGATTGACGGGACGGTGGACATGCACTACTAATGAGCGCGAAACTCGAGTCTAGTGCTTCCGAGTGTATAGGTGAATCGATGAACTGAGGATTGTGCGTGAAGGTGAAATCCGACAGATAGTCAGCTCAAATCAATCAATAAAATATTTCAGTCTGCCAAACAACAATTTGAACAATTAATCCTACTTTACAGGTTCATTAGGTGGACTGCCGGTGAATTCTAAGGAAAACCTGTCTGGGCAGTCAGCTTACATGCTAACTGGATGCCACATGCCTATGTAAGTTGGATGGGTAGTAATTCAAATGTGAAAAGATCAGTGTTATCGGTGTGGCTCAGCTGATAGGACGTGCGCGTACAAAAGCGGAGGTGACGTCCATGAATGTGGGTTTGAATCCTATCGAGGTTATTGAACTTGCCCCACAATTTTAATCTGTCAAACAACGAGTTGAACAATCAACAAAAGCCTCTGATCAGAGCAGATTCTGTTTGCTACCTTGGATTACCCATCAAACCTACCCAAGGTTAACTTCTTCAGACAGATTTCAAAATTCTTCGCCGCAGATTATTACGTATCAGTTGCATATCTTTCATACATCTTGATAAACTACCCACCAGAATGCGCAAACTAATTCTACCTGCATAGGACATGTCTGCACAGAAAATCCACTCATGCTCTGAATGACGGTTAATCCAAATGGGAATTTGCACAATTCATTGTACACTACCTCTTACTTTCCCGGATTACTGTTTACAGAAACGTATGTGTTTCTCATCTCGGTGGGATCCGCACAACTCGAGTACGGTTGTTGGGCCAAGGTCTTGACAAGTTTTGTTAACTCATTTTTTTTAGTGACTGTTATTTTCTTCTTTTTGGTGCACTTTTTTCGGACCCTCATCTAGACCAATTGTGATCGATCGGGAGCACAAAATTAGCCTGAGTACAATCATCACCTGTGTGTTAGTCGAAAGAATTAAAAATTATTATCACTAGTATCATTAGCAATAGTGGGAATTTGCACAATTCATTGTACACTACCTCTTACTTTCCCGGATTACTGTTTACAGAAACGTATGTGTTTCTCATCTCGGTGGGATCCGCACAACTCGAGTACGGTTGTTGGGCCAAGGTCTTGACAAGTTTTGTTAACTCATTTTTTTTAGTGACTGTTATTTTCTTCTTTTTGGTGCACTTTTTTCGGACCCTCATCTAGACCAATTGTGATCGATCGGGAGCACAAAATTAGCCTGAGTACAATCATCACCTGTGTGTTAGTCGAAAGAATTAAAAATTATTATCACTAGTATCATTAGCAATAGTGATTGAAGTAAATGTGTACTGTATTGACCATGAACATTCACTTTGTTTTCGCTGACCTAAAAACAAGCGCCATTTCCCAGTCACTCGGCACATTCATCCTTACTTTTGTGAGCGATCAGCGAAGTTCGTCTCGCTGTCGTTTTCAGTCAAAGAAAGAAGCTGATTTATCAATATTATTAATAATAGTCCATATTATTATCATTCAAATCTTAAGCGCGATGAAATGCTTTGTTCTTTCATATTCCTAAATCTTCTGAAAAAGTGAAGGGAACAAACCTGGTTATCTGTATGCTCGAGTCGTATTGTTTGGGAAAATACTACTCACACTTATGAGTAGTTCGCAAGAAGATGCTATTGGCGGTTTCTTTCTATACCTGTTAGAGCGAGCTTTACAGTACGGTTAATACAAGAATGCGCATCTAATAGTTGACCGTTCCATTAACTATCTTG